TGAGTGCTTAATTAATGCGCTGGCCAGAGAACAAGGGGACTCCTTTCACCCTGGCACCTACTGGTGCCCTTTGATGTTAGGATGGACACTGAGCAGTACAGGATTTGGACTCATCCAAGGAGAGGGCCTTTGGCCTTGGCTCCCATGAGGTTATCTCCAAGCCCTTGAAATATCCTGCTCTATAAAAGTGTCTGTTTATCTGGCTGAGGCTGAGGCAGGAGGTTCACAAGTTTGAGGTCAGCCTCAGCAATTTAGTGAGACCTTGCCTCAAAAATAAAATAACAAGGGCTGGGGGTATAGCACAGAGGTAGAGTACTTGCCTAGCATGTGTAAGGCCCTGGGTTCAATCCCCAGGACCCCAGGAAAAAAATAACAACTGATCCAGGAAGTCCAATATCTATAAAACAGAAGTTCTATAACAAAGAAAATGCAAAGATTGTAATAATCAAAGATGAAATAGCTTGACCTGAGCACGGACACGGTCCTTCAGCTAAACGGCTAGCAACGTGGATAAATGTCCACAAGAAACACCCAAAATCACACACAGCCTCATGAGGTCTTAGATCATCACAGCAGAAGATGAAACCTTGAAAATGTTCAGAACTAAAATCGCTGTGTCTTCCCAGGAAGAAGACAGACTTTGGCTCAGCGCTGGTAGATGCTGTCCGTATGAGCCTGGGTCTTCAAAGTGCTGAGGTTAAAGAATACCTACCTAAAATTCTGCACCCGGCACAGCAAGTTTGGGAGCAGAACGGAGACCTCTGCAGAAACCTAAAGTATGAGAGAGTTTAAGGCAAGCCAAAGAGGGCGTTTGAGGGCTGGGAAGGGATGACATCTCAGAGACACCGAGAAGAAGCTTCAGGATGACAGGTGTGCTGCAGGCATAGAAGGAGTGGTCCCCGGGACGCCACTCAACACGGGACGAGGGAGAACCTGGGATCAGAGACGTGGTGAAGGCTAGGTCTGATGTATCAGCCACGAAAACTTGAAGACCAATAGAGACTCCAAAATAAGCCACCTCCTACCAGACTTGTATAATATGTCAAAATAGATCCTACTGTCATGGACGGATAAGAGCAAATTTTAAAAAATTAAAAATTAATCACACTCTGATCTAACTGTGCGCAGGTAAGGGAGCTCAGGAAAGATAACCCAGTCCACCTGGACCTTCATCAGTTGCCTTCGGTGGCTCCGATAAGACGACATAGAGCTCCATGCTGTTTCCCATGTCGGGACCTGACTTCCCTTAAATGCCCACACCGTGGTCGTCAAGTGTGTTTGTCTTCAATCTTTACAGTCCACCCATGTGACATCACAATGTATTAATTAATTTATTTGGGGGGATACTGGGGATTGAATCAGGGGTATTAAGAACCAAGCCGCACCCCTAGCCCTTTTTTATTTTTTTAAAACAGGGGTCTCACTGAGTTGCTTATGGCCTCACTAAGTTGCTGAGGCCGGCTCTGAACTCACGATCCTCCTGCCTCAGCCTCCTGAGCCACTGGGATGACAGGTGTGTGCCACTGGGTGGATATCCCAATTTATAAGAAGTATTATAAATCCCAGGTTTCTGGCACAGTGTTCCTAAAACTCCATAATTCCCTGAGCGATATGGGTGGCAGGAGAATCTTTCATTGGAATATTTGCTCACTTGTGATATCTGGTCGCTCAGTCGTAGTGTGCTTGCCTGGTGTGGGGTGAGCCCAGTACTGAAAAAAAAAATTTTTTAATAAAAATAATAATAAGAGCTGGGGATATAGCTCAGTTGGTAGAGTGCTTGCCTTGCATGCACAAGGCCCTGGGTTCAATCCCCAGCACCACAAAACAAAGAAACAAAAATAATAATAATAATATTTGGTCTTTGATCTCGATTCCTGACAGAGCCCCCAGTCCTGAACCTTTGGGATTTTCTGGGTGATAGAGGCCTCTTTGGATCTAGTGAGGTGACTCTTGAGTGAGGGACGGCAGCTGGTCTCCAAAAAGATCAGGCCATGGTTAGGAGCTTGAACTCTGAGCCCCAAGCCCATCCTCCAGGGCGGGCAGGGGGCTGGATACAGAGCTAACAGCAGACGGTGCTCAGTGCTCAGTGCTCCAGTGCTCCATGCTCGGTGCTCCCGTGCTCGGTGCTCGGTGCTTGGTGCTCAGTGCTCCAGTGCTTGCATATTGAAGCCTCCAGGAAAGTCCTCACTGTGGGCTTCAGGAAGCTGCTGGGTGGTGTGGCGCACCCCCAGCTCCACGGGGACAGACCTTCCCGGGCTTGGTGCTCTTCTGGACCTTGCCCTCTGTCCCTTTTCATCTGGTGGATTATCTGTATTCTTTATCATCTCCTTTGTAATAAACTGGTAAACAAGAGTGAGCCTTTCCCTGAGTTGGGTCCAGCATCCTAGCAAATGACCAACCCTGGGGAGGAGGGGCGGGAACCTCACTTTACAGCGGGTCAGTCCCAAGTTCAGGGGGTTAAATAAAACCCACTGAAGGTCAGGGGCTCGGACTGAGCTTCTGCACCAGGTCCGAGAGGTCAAACCAAGATGGAGTCGCTCATGCTAGTGCTCCCCAGCACCAGGTGGAAACTAAGCTGTTTATCTGCCCTCCTGAGAGGTCAGGGAGAGAGGGGGCAGTCAATCCCCCAACAACCCATTTTACCTTCTCAAAAAAAGTGACTTTGGAATGACCTGTCCACTTCCTGCTCTGTGTCTGCTTTTCCTTGGCCCCTTTCTCCTTTGCTCGGCTTTAACAGAACAAGGTGTTGTCCGACTTCAGAGTCACGGATACAAGTCAATTAAGACCTTTAAACTAAATTTGTTGTAATTTTCTCATTTTTTTTTTAAACTGGTGATTAAACCCAGGGGCACTCTAGCACTGAGCCACATCCCTGGCCCTTTTATTTATTATTTTATTTTGAGACAGGGTCTCAAGAAGTTGCTTAGGTCTCCCTAAGTTCCTGAAGCTGGCCTCCAACTTTGGATCCTCCTACCACAGCCTCCTGAGTCACCGGGATAACAGGCGTGCACCACGCACGTTCTGGGTTGAGAGCGTGGTAGGAGCTCAGGGTCTCCAGAATCCCTCGCTCGCCTTCTGTGTCCTGACTGAAAGTCAGAGTGCCTGATGTCTGTGGCCCAGACAGCTGCAGGTCTCTGCCAGCCGGCCTGAGCCCCAACAGGCCCCTGGTATTCCCAGACACCGATAAGGGCGTTCAGGTTGTTGCCAAAACACTAGAAGGAACTGGCGCAGTCCTGGGCTAAAATCCCTCACACCCTCCTGTGGGCTCAGCCTAGCCCCCCTCACTGCTGATAAACCCAGGTAGCACTTCCCTCTGCTCCTGGGTCTGTCCCAGGAGAAGCTCTCCAATGGCCACTTGCACCTGGTCCCGGATACTGAGGGCTTCTTTCTTGGGACCCCCACCCGGCCCCATCGCTGGATGGTTTGGGCATTTTCTTGTTGGGGACCCCCGCAACAGCTACCCACAGCTTCAGTGGGAGGAAGCAACTGTTTTTTTCCTAGTAGTCAACCCACAAAGCCAGAAACACAGATCCTGGTTTTTTTCTTCCTTTTTCTTTTTCTATTGATTGATTGATTGATTGGCGGTGCTGGGGAGTGGACCCAGGCCCTTGCACAAATTCCCTTTTGTGCATTATAAAAATTGAATTTTTTTTTTTTTAAAGATACTCAAGATGCAAAAGCCACGGGAAAGGATCTTGCCTGTTCTGGGGTTTGTAAAAATGTGGAAACAGTATTTTCTCCCCTGTGGCCTTGTCTTTCTCTATGAATTCCTTCACAGAAATGATCCTGCCTGAGGTTTAGGATCCCCGCAGCTGCAGTTTACTTCTGGGGACATTGAACTTGAGGTGACAGGAAAGAACCTGAGTAATAATCTGGTTATCGCTGGTCACCTCATTCTGGGAAACCTTGGCACAAAAATGATCCATTAGTTGGTTCATGATACTTTGATGGTATTTAAACCTTCAACCTGACCGTCTTCCTGGTAATACGTGACCACAAACCCACTCCCTCTCCACCCAGCTCCTCTTCCTTCTCCGTCACAGAAGGAATCTCGTCAAACCACAAGGATATCAATAAATAATAATAATAAGCATGAGGACAGCACCCTTTACTGAGTGTTTGCCTCTGTGTCAGGCACCACGCCACACCCTTCAAAGGCATTAGCAATTGAATCTTGAACTTTATGGGGAGGTATAGTTGATTTTACGGTGGTTACATTGAAACCCAGAGAGGCTAAGTCATTTGCCCAACATCACACAGCTGAACAGAAGCAACAGGGGATTCAAACCTATGACGCTGCTGGCAGACCCTGAGCTTGAATCATCGTCATTGACGACATCATTCTGATCAGAGGAAGAACAGAAGGATGAGAAGGGAGAGGCAGTGAATAAGGAGGCCGAGGTAACACTTCCTAAGCATTTATAGAGCACCGCGTGTTCTTATTAATTCCGATACCCACCTGCGGAGGTGGCAACTTTCCACACCTACCCATTCTACAGACAAGGAAACCAAGGCTAGACAGCTTCAGAGCTGGCTCCCTAACCAGCAACGTCTCTCACCTCCCCTTCCCCACAGCCATGCTTTCCACTAATATATCTATTGAGCGTCCATTCTGTACCTGCACCTGTCAACCAGCGGCAGGACAGCCCTGCTTCTGTCCTCCGGCGACACATTCCCAAGCACTCCCGGCGATCCTGTGACGTCCTGCCCTCTCCGGCTCTCATCTGCCCAGCCCTGCAGGTTCCCCAGAGGGGACCCCTGCATGCTCTGTGGTCCGCACCTGGGGAGACACTGGATCTTTTTTTTCTTTTTTGCAAACCCATGAATCTCTCTTCCAGCCTCTGTGCTGGGTCCCTATAAACACAGCTGTCCTTGCCGTCTGTCATGCCACTGGTCTCGCTGCCAGCCAGGGTTGGGGGTGGTTTACGGGGCTGTGGCAGTTTTAGGCCACCCTGGCTGTCCCCTGTCCCCTCCTCCAGCCCGTGAACCCCGGGTCTCACCTGTCCAAGCGCAGGCCTGGCTGGCGCCCCGGTATGGTCCTGGGGTTTGCACAGCTGAAACGCCAACTCCGCTCCAAACGGGGTATTTCTTTCTTCCTGAACTCAAGCTCCTCCCTCTCGCCAAGTTTCTCTCTCCGTCGGGGCCATAAAAAGGGCAAAGTCCTTTTCAGGGCTGACTTCATTTCTTGGACATCATAAGGAAGTTCGCAGACCCCCGCCGGCAGCGCGGAGGCTGGAGAAGGAGTTTCCTGGCGTCCTTCAGGCCGGGAGCATCCTCTGGAATGTGGCTCCACGGGACGCCCCTGGGCACGTCTTTTGTCAGTTTTTTTTTTTTTTTTTTTTTTTTTTGCTGCTGGGACCAAATCAGACCTGAAGAGAACAATTCCAGGAGGAAAAGTTTATTTGAGCGCTCACGGTTTCAGAGGTCTCCGTCCACAGAAGGCCGGCTCCATTTCTGAGGTGGGGGGACATCAGAGAGGAAATGTGTGGCAGAGGAAAGCAGCTGGGGACATGGCACCAGGAGGCAGAGAAAGTTCCTCTCACAAGGGACAAAATATAAACTTCAGAGGCCCACCGCCTCCAGCCTCCACCCCCTCCAGCCTCCACCCCCTCCAGCCACCACCCCCTCCAGCCACACCCCGCCTGCCACCACCCCCTCCTGCCACCACCCCCTCCAGCCACACCCCGCCTGCCTACAGTTCCCACCCAGTTAATCCCTATCCGCAGATTAATGCACTGATTATGAGGTTTAGGTTCTCATAACCCAATCATTCACCTCTAACTTTCTTGCATTGACTCTCACATGAGATTTGGGGGTCCACCTCACATTTAAATCATCACAGCCCCCAGGCGCTGGGCACTTTGGAGATGCATACCTTGCAGCGACATTCGACCTGGAGATCTAACTCTGCAATTAATGCTCACAAGTGACTGGTCCCTTGCATAGATAAAGGACGCATGGACAGAAACCAGCTCACATTTCCAGGAAGGCCGTCTGGAATTCCAATCCCGACAGGCACCCCAAGACGGGAATTGCGCAATCACTCCAAGCCTCCGACCTTTTCACCCCTTCACCTGCAAAATGAGAGCAATGTGCTCTCCCTCCACAGGGTTGGTCAGGGCGACATCAGGCGACAGGTGGGAAAGGCTGGTCAATTTCAGTGCTCATCTCCTGAGACCAACCATAGCGACAAGAATGCCAGCTAATCCTCCATGCAGGGCTGTCTCTGGGACAGAGTCCTTAAGCACCCGGAAAGGAAGAAGGAAGCAGAGCGTCTGGGGCTGGGTGAGATGTCTTTGTTTTTATAAAGGCCAGAACATATTCCTTTTCCCGTGGCATTTGAATCTGGGTGAGAATCTTTTAAAAGAAGGAAAGTCAGGACTGAGGATATAGCTTAGTTGGTAGAGTGCTTGCCTTGCACACACGGGGTCCTGGGTTCAATCCCCAGCACCACACACACACACACACACACACAAAAGGAGGAAAGTCTTATTTCTAAAATCCGGAATAAATGGGGTGGGGGTGGGGGCTATATATTCCCTTCCCTTTTGATGTATTAGCACTCACCTTAAGTACAAAATAGTGATTTTTCCAAAAGAGAAATGCAGTCATCTCCTGTGGTAGCAGAGACTCATAAATTGAGGAACTGTCTTAAAATGAGAGGAGGGGGAGGGGGGTTCTACAAGACAATGGTTGGGCCAGGTGCTGAGTGCGGGTAGCACACGCCTATATTCCCAGTGGCTCAGGAGGCTGAGGCAGGAAGATAGCAAGTTCAAAGCCAGCCTCAGCTCTAAATAAAATACATATTTATGGCTAGGATGTGGCTCCGCGGTTCAGTGCCCCTGGGTTCCATCCAAAAAAAAAAAAAGACGGTTGCACAGCCCCAGGAACAGCCATGCCTGGGGGAAGAAGTCAATTCCAGGCAGCCAGTGCCTCGGGGAACCCTGAACCTCCTGCTGCGGGCTGATCCCTGTGGGGCTGGACCAAACTGCAGCCTGAGGCAAAAGGCCAGATCAGATCTTCCTGTGACAGTCAATCAGGATTTCTCAGTGTCTGCCCTACCGACATTCGGGGCCAGGTAACTGTCTCAGCGACTGTCCCCTGCATCCCGGACTGTCCCGTGCCAGCAGGTCAGTCCAACCCTCCCCGACCTGGGACAGTCAGCCCCCACCCCGAAAAGAACCAATGAGCTCCTGGGCTTTACCCCAGCTCCTCGCTGCTGCAAGCCCTGGCGAGATCTTCCCCGCCCGGCTCCTGGACCAGTGGCTCCTCAGCTATGAGGAAGGAGCACGGAGCGTGTCTCTCGCCACCCTCCCACTCAGATCCACCTTCCAGCTCGGAAACCAAGTGCGTCCTGAAAGCCAGGACCCCCTTGCCGTGGCTCTCCAGGGTACAGGACAAAGCTATTGAGGGGTCTTCAGAACAGCAAGATTCCAGGTTTCTTCCACTCTCACCTATGGACAAAGGCACGTGGCTCCAGCTGTCAGAACCTTGGACAACCAGCAACAGCGGGTAGAGACCCCTGGGCATACTAAGATGACCTGGAGGTCTTGCAAGTTTCTGTGTGTCCTTCAGACTTCCGGCTTTGATAAAAGTTTCTTTCAAATAATCTTTTGATGACAAAACCTATATAATAAACGTGCTGAGTGAGCTCTGGTGTCAGTCAAGCCTCATCAGGGCTTGGCTACCCACCCCCTCACCGCCCCTCCAGTTTCTGAATTAATGGCCAGGCTGGTCGCCACAGTTGTGACTTTTTCTGATTCTTCTGATAGACAGTGTAAAAACGCACTGAGCCGGTGACATGCCCACAAGCTCTAGTGGAATTTTCTTCTCTTGCTCTACTGAAGAAACCAGATTTAAAGACAGCCTTAAAGACAGGTAGTTAGTGTAGTTAGGTAAATCGGATCCAATATCGAGTCTAGTAAAGAAAATGGAGTTGATCTGAGCCTGGGAGGCTGAAATGTTAATATTTCCAAGTCCCTGGCCTGTCCCAAAGAACTGTTAATGAAACAGCTCCCAGCAAGACACGGAGATGCTAATCAAATCACCCTAGGCACTTCCTGCCCAGATCTCTCCCCCACGGGACAGAGGGAGATAAGCAAGTTGAAGGACCTGAACACTAAAGAACAAAAGACCTTAGATATAAAAGGGAGAAGATCTCCCTTTCCCAAGGATTCCACTCTACACTTGCCTCCGGGTGCTTCTCTGAAGCATTCCAGTAAGCCAGGACTCAGTAACCAGCGGTATCAACATTTCTCAATGTTTCGTTTATGACACATTTATTCTCTCCCCCCAAAATCCTTTTTTCTTTTTACTACTGGGGATTGAACACATAGGCACTTAACCACCGAGTCACATCCCCAGCCCTTTTTATTATTTTTTTTTATTTTGAGATAGGGTCTCCCTGAGTTGCTAAGTTGCAGAGGCTGGCCTCCAACTTGCAATCCTCCTGCCTCAGCCTTCTGAGTTGCTGGGATAACAGGCGTGCACCACCGCATGTTGAGAGCCACAGTGGAAGGGGCCCCAGCAAACTTTCAGCTGCCAGCTGATTGGCTCCTCTGCGGTGATGCTCCTAGGGCTGTTTCCCCGCCCTTTCAGACCAGGGAGCTGCTCATTGGGGGACTCTTTTGGCTCCACCCACATGACCCAGCCAATCCAATCGGCCTCAAGAGCAGGAGGCGTGTGGTGGTTGAGAGGCTTGTGGGAAGCGGGTGGTGGCAGTTGGGCTCTGAGGGAATTCCTGAAGAGTTCCTGTGGTGTGTGGTGTGTTCTAAAAATAAAGTTCGTTTGTGCTTGATAAGTGGCTCCTGAATTGTGCCCAGCCAGACTGCAGCATTTGGTGCTGATAACGCCAAGGTCATGGGTTCGTTCCCCCCCGTCGGGCCACCAAATGCCGAAGTCTGGCTGGGTCGCGTGGTCGGAGCCAAAGAAGGTCCCCCAATGAGCAGCTCCGCAGTCTGAAAGGGCGGGAAACAGCCCAACTGAGCATCACCGCAGAGGAGCCAATCAGCTGGCAGCTGAAAGTTTGCTGGGGCCCCTTGGGCTGTGGCTCTCAACATCCTCTCTCAGCTAGTTTTGGGATTTCATCATATGTGACAGTGGGACTTTTTCAAAACATAAATTAAAATTTTGCAAAATGTCTCTAGTGAGCTGCACAGAGTTTGGATTGTATGATCCCACTTTTACTAAAGTCAAAATAATTTCTATTGCTACATCTCGGAGGAGAGAGAGAAACCTGGAACAGCATTCAGGAAACTAAACAGTGGTTATGAACACGTGACGAAGGAGCACGTTTCTCTGCCTCCTGTGCAAGTATTTTTGTAAATAACTTGCATATATTTTAGACATATCCAAGTATCCCATAAGATTTTTTTTTTAATGGGAAGAATGAAACAAGAAGGTCTATATCTGAGGTCACCGGGGAATCTCCAAAGTTTCATAAGGGAAAGAGGGAGAATCTTCTGGAAGCAGCAGATGCCAGAGAGTCCCAGATATAGGAAGCAAGGACCCAGAGGGGGACTGATGAGGACATCCAGGATTGGAAAGAAGGAAGCAAGAGATAAGCGTGAGGCAGAGGAAATGGAAATAAATGAGGAGATGTGGGAGCAGGAGAATAGCTCTGTGTCAGGGGGCAGTTTATTAGTTTAGCCAAGTCTGCCTGTTGCCTCGCTGTAAACAGAGAAAATGCTAATATGTAAAAACGGTCAACACTTAGACTCTTCTCACTACCTATGTGTTGATCACATTTAACCCTCACAGCTCCCCAGGAGTTAGGCAGTATTACCATCACTCCAGTGTAGGGAGGAGTCATTTGAAGCACAGAGAAGTTAAGCAACTCAGCCCCAGGTCCCAGTGAGGAAATGATAGAGGCAGGCTTGGACCTCAGGCCGTCTGGCTGACGAGCCCCTGTTCTGAAGATCACTAGAGCTGCCTAGCACAGCGCCTGGCAAACAGTGAGCAGAAAAGATGTTAATGAATATGATTATATTAAAAGGCGAGGCTTCCACCCCCAGCCAAGTGCCCACAGGAACGGATGCACAGGGCCCTTGTCCAATACCAGCTTCATAAATGTCCCCAGAAACTGCCATGACACATTGAAGGGCAGCACTTTTCGTAGGACATAAAACTCCCTGAAATATGGCAGGAGGTCCGTGCTGGAGACTCTATATGCAAAAGGGGAATAGGGTACCAGAGGCACATGCCTGTATTCCCAGGCACCCGGGAAGCTGAGGCAGGAGGATCGCAAATTAGAGGCCAGCCTCAGCTCAGCATATTAGTGAAAGTCAGTCTCTCTCTCTCTCTCTCTCTCTCTCTCTCTCTCTCTCTCTCTCTCTCTCTCTCTATCCTAGGGCTCTTAACCGGTCTCTCTAAGTTGCTTAGGGCCACGCTAAATTGATGGGGCTGACTTTGAGCCCGGGATCCTTCCGAATCACTGAGATTACAGACGAGCGCCACCAAGCCCGGCTCCCCCCACCGGCTTTTTTTTTTTTTTTTAAACCGGGGTAGAAACTGGAATCCAGACAGGATAATTAACTTGCTCAAAGAAAGGCTCACAGCAAATAAACCGTGTGA